GTTATCTGTGTCAGCTCCACTGAGTCTTTCAGTACTAGTATTCCCCTCTGATATCACTAAAGCACTATATTATAAAGCTTTGCAATATCTGTGACTGGAACATGATGCCTTAAACAAGCTCACATTTTCTCAGTCTAGAAAATACTGTGGCCAGAACCTTGAATTAACAAAAAATGAAAATAACAGAAAGGTCGAATTGGATTAGAGAGGTTGTAAGTACACACATAATTACATTTTTTAAACCAATGCATCATGTTTGGCATCACAGTTGAACCTTTGTTACACATTTATTAATGCTTATCTTTCTGGTACAATTCTCTCCCCTGCACAGATTTTTTTTACTGAGAATTAGAGATATGGTGGATGTGTGTTATGGATGGATTACACAAACCCTAATTAGGCCCTAATGGAAGGTCAACGTGATTGGCCTCTGGAAGGAATCAGGGACTTAATCAGTTTGTATGTAACACCCCCCCAGTGTTAAGGATAGCCTCTCCCCTCTCCCCTCTCCCTTACTATACAGTGCAGGGCTTCCGCCAAAATATTTTTCAGGGGTGGATTTCCCCCTTTCGACTTTTTTTGGGGGGGATTTTCAATTTGTCGGGGGGGATTTTCAATTTGTCAAGGGCGATTTCAGTATGTAACGGCTAGCTGTCACAACCATAAGAGATTGTAACAACTATTCATTTAGGATATTCAGATGAACTGAAACAAGACAAAAGTTCTCACAAAAATAAAACATTTATTCAACAAAAGTAATTACTGCACTCAGTGACTGAGTAACCGTGTAAAATTTAAAAAATAAAAAATACAAGTTACAGCTGCCATTGACTATAATCAGATAATGGATATTACGCGACAGAACGGTATGCTTTGGAACAGGACTGGGCTTGACTAGATTCTCTAGTCAACAAACAAACCTGCAAAGACACAAAAAATAGCAGTGCTTTCGCTAAGCAGCGCCATTCTCGGTCGCTACGTATATCTGCATGGAACCTCTACGTGAAAAACGAAATTGACAAGAACGGAAGGCGACACTTTGGAAACCGTTATCGTACACCCATCAATTAAAGACTGGCATTGACAGCATGAAAAAAAATCATTACCGTACAAGCCATCTCCCCCATTATAAAAATTATTCACTTGATTTGAAGCGAGTCCGGTGAATAAACATTTTAATGAATAGACGACAGGTGCAGACGGCGCGAACCTTGTCCCCAAGGCGAAAATATGTACAGCGCTGGGCAGGCTAGTGATTACCATATCTGAAATTAGGGACGAGGTTGGTCATGAAGATGTATAGCCACTGCCCTGATTGCGGTGCTGCGCAACGAAAGGGAAGATTGGAGATCATCTGCGGTCAGTGCCCAGCGGCAAGGCAGAAAACGTACCCAGTGATTGGCTAGTTACTCTCTGAATGTCCAATCTGTTCAGATTTTGTGGGCGTGAATGAGCGTGCGAGTCAAGCAGTACTTGTATAGGTACTTTAAAGCCGCTTGCACACTGGGCCGAAACAAATTTTCGCGCGACGACAGATTACATTGACTTTGAATGTAATCTGTCGTGAAAAAATTCGTTTCGCGTCCAGTGTGCAAGCAGCTTAATTCACTGAAAACGTGCGGGATGGCCCGCTTTGACTCTTTTTTCTTACCGGCGCTAGGGCAGTTTTTGCAGGAATCCCGCAATCGCGCTGCTTGGTGGAAGCCCTGCAGTGTCTTTTGCTTGGTCCTTTGCATCTGAGCCTGTTTGTAATGCATTCCCGGAGGAAACCTTTCTCAGCATAAACCTCTCTCCCTGGTTTTTTGTGCAGAGAATGACATCCCATTTGTGCTCAAGCCTCCTGCACTATATAAGCTGTGGCAATCATGCCTGAACTTGCCAAATGATAATATGAATCGGAAGCAACTGCTCGCAGAATATTTTTTCATCACGATGTGTGATTAGGAGGACTTCCGTTTTCTTGGGCCACCGTCCAACCTTAAGCCCTTTGTCTGTTACTGAGGTGCTAAGATCTCCGCTGAAATTTTTCCTTTGTTTTGTTGCCATGGAGCAACAGGGGGTCTGCGCACGAGTCTCAGATCCGCCGAGCTGTCGGCCTGCGAGTTCTGATGAGGTTACTGTGGCAGAGTGTTTACTGGATTAAATATGACCTCATGGGGTATGACTCAATGATGGAAACTTTCTGGTGTGATGTCTGAGATTTATACCCTAAACACTTTCAGCTGCAATGATAGAGCAAGGAATGATGGAGGATCTTGCTTAAATCAGTTTCTGTCAAACAGGTGACTGATTCCAATGTTGTCTGTAGATTCAGCTCTGACTGAAAGTTGCTCTGAAAACTGATTTCTCCCACAGGCTCTGGACCCTCTGTCAGACACAGATGTTCTGTATAATGTGCCATTGATAAGAAGCTGCCCTAATCTTGTGCAATTGCAAAGAGTTTATTAATAGTTAAACTTTCAACTCATTATTTTACAGCTATATCATGTCATCCTTCATACTCTTTGAGAATTGAGACAGGTGTAGGAAATTGAATCACATACTACTCATTTGGATTCTCACATCTATGGGCAATTAATAGTCTCCTAGTGGCCAAACATCCATGTCTTTGGGCAGTGGTGGTCAACCCTGGTCCAGGAGAGCCGCAGTGTCTGCTGGTTTTTAGCTTACCGGCCCTGTGGGCCGATAAGCTATTGTCGTGGTGTGGCGTCCGTCGTCCGGAACATTTTTTTATCTTTTCTTTGGCCCGATGAATTTTTGTGTAAATTTGCAATAACATACTACAAGACCATATCTCCAGACGTTTTTTCTCGGATTTTTGATTGAATCATTTTTGTCCGTTTTATGGGCCCTAGAAGTTTTGGCTCCAATGTTAAAGATAGGACTGAGAAATTTTAAAAAATCATTTCCCAAAAAACTGCATGATAAATTTTTTTATAAATCAGGCGATCAACTTACCTTGGTACCGTCAACATACAGTGTGAGCGCCATTTTGATTGAATCGACGGAAGTGGGTCTATTGGGGGCGCTGTACTTTATGAATATGCAAGATGGCCTGTGGAGGCCAAATGGTTGCAGATAGAGATAAATTTAGTATTACTGACATATAGGAAGTAATATATGACCTATATTTTGGCTGTGTTAAAGTTGACCTCAGATGACCTTGAAAGGTCAAACTTGAGGTCAAGCAAAATGTTACAATTTTTAAAGGTTTCTAGGCTTGAAAATATTGAAGATTGGTAACATATGTGCATTGAACTCATATAGGAAGTCATGTATGAGCTTTCATTTGGTGGCCTTGAACTTGACCTTTGGCGATCTTCGAAGTCAAACTTCACAAAGTGAAATTTCAATGACTTCTATCACCAAAACTATTACAGATAGAGCTTGGGTTTCTATTGTGGCCATATAGGAAGTCATGCATGAAGTTTCATTGGGTGACCTTGAACTTGACCTTCAGTGTCCTTGAACGGCCAAACTATATAGTGAAATTTCAATGACTTATATCAGCAAAATCGTTACAGATTGAGTGTAGGTTTGTATTGGATAAGTATAGGAAGTCATGTATGAACTTTCATTTGGTGACCTTCATATTGACCTTCGAAGGTCTAACTTGACCGAGGGAAAATTCAATGACCTCTATCACTGAAAAGGTCACAAATGGAGCCTAGATTTGTGTTACTGACATAGGAAGTCACATATGAACTTTCATTTGGTGACATTCAGCTTGACTGTTAATGACATTCGAAGGTCAAACTTGACATAATACAATTACAATGACTTGTCTTGCCAAAACGGTGACAAATGGAGTCTAGGTTTGTATTACAGACATATAGGAAGTCATGTATGAACTTTCATTTGGTGACCTTCGTATTGACCTTCAAAGGTCAAATGTGACCTAGTGAAAATTCAATGACTTGTATCACTAAAACGGTCACAGATGGAGCCTAAGTTTGTGTTACTGACATCTAGGAAGTCGCATATGAACTTTCATCTGGTGACATTCAAGTTGACTGTCAGTGACCTTTTAGGGTCAAACTTGACAGTGAAATTACAATGACTTGTATCACCAAAATGGTCACAGATTGTGCCAAGGTTTGTATAGTGACATTTAGAAAGTCATATATGAAGTCCATTTGCTGACCCCAACTTGACATTCTGTGACCTTTAAAGTTCACAACTAACATATTGAGTACATATTGACATATTTTAATGACTTGTATCACCAAAACTACTTCAGAGCTTAGGATTGTATAACAGAATGTCTTATAAATCTATGTGAACTTTTATTTAGTGACCTTGACATTGATTTTCATTGATTCAAATGTCACACTTTACATGAAATTTTCATAACTTGCATCATCGCTGTAAGACTGCTTTCCGGTAAGCTACAGGACCCTTGGTCCTATTTTTGACGTTACTCAGCACTTAATTGATGAATGTTGATTACGCGCTTAACTCATCTCACCTGGTGTCTTAGGTTTAAATAGGGTGGAGAAAACCAAACTCACACACCCTGTGTCTCTCTAGGACCAGGGCTTGCTACCCCTGCCCTATAAACTTTTATCTGTACTCTGCACTCCTGCTTTGTCTGCATTACAGCTATGCTAAATGTCCAACCACATTGACAAATATTGGTTTCCACGTTGACTGCTGTCACAACCTGCATGTCTGTTTAATTGGCTCTAGGAGTCTTGTGGGTGGTTCCTGGAAATTGACTGATTGGCTTATTATTCCCTGAGTGCAGGAGTACAGCTAACCCTGGTCCTGGAGAGACACAGGGTGTGCTGAGTTTGGCTTTCTCCACCCTATTTAAACCTAAGACACCAGATGAGATGAAGATGAGTTAATTGATGAATTAAGCGTGTAATCAACCGCTTTAAGTGCTGAGTAACATCAAAAACCAGCAGACACTGCGGCTCTCCAGGACCAGGGTCTTTGGGCTATGGGAGGAAACTGGAGTTGGAAACTCACATGAACTTGCAGACTCCCTGCAGAAAGGCCTCAGGCCAGATTCAAACCCACAGCCTTCCAGTTGTGAGGCAGCAACGCTACCCACTGCGCCACCGTGCCGCCCCTTCATATAAAATTAAAGAGAAAATATTTTTATCAAATTATTCATTTGAAGACCACAAAGGAAAAACGATCAGAGTCCAAATTTTGCATTTTTGTATATTTTATATATTATATATTTTTTGCATATTTTTTCAGTGCTTTGTTTCTGAGATCGTCTTGAATTTTTAATTCATCATTTCTCCAGAATGTGAAAATGTGACTGATCATTTTTCCGTTGTGGTCTTCATTTGGTTGACCAATTTCCTCTATAGTTCCATCACACAGGGTGGAATGAGTCACCATGTCTTGACTCTCCCTCCAGCACCTGAATACAAGCACTATATTGGAACTGAAATTCTGCTTCTCACCAATGATGATGTCTCTGTCACCAAATTCCATCGCTTGGAAGTAGCACGCGGATTACGCTACATTGTGTTTATTTGGCAGACACCTTTATGGGAAGTGACATACAAGTGCATGCAGAAGGTGATAACTCAGAACATTAATCACAGCACTGCCATATGGTTTCTGAGAGATATTAATAGTGCGCTGTTATGGGAACATTGTTCAGAAAAAACTGCTTGGTGCAGGCAGTAGAACAGATTACAGGCATGTTCACTTAATGGATGCTACCCTTGATATTTTCTATTTGTAGCAAGCTGTTTCCATGCTGTGCTTGAGAATTTTCCCTCTAGTGTTTGCTGGTGGTTTGGACAATGCTGTAAGTTTCTCACAGATACTGCGCTTTAGTTTGCATAAAAATATGCTATTCTTATTTTTGTTATACAATGCCTATGTTGCATTTATCAAGCAGTTGAAAATTATAATCACTTTTTTCATTCTGTTATGGTTTTGTGTGCAGACGTGCTGGATTGCCCACATAGTTTATTAAGTGACGTAAATTTGCAGTTATGCTTACACATATCAGCCGCAACATTGAAACCACTTCCATATTATTGTCGATCCTCCTCGTGTTGCGAAAACAGCTGTATTTAACTGAATTCCTGGACACTGGGTTTCCCAGCAAAACATTTCCCAGAGCATCACACTCCCTCCACCAGCTTGTCTTCTTTCCCCTGTGCATCTTGGTGCAACCTCTTCCCTGGGTAAATGGTGTGTGCGTACCCAGCTGATGCATATGAAGCAAAAGAAAATGAGACTCGATGGACCAGGCAACCTTCTTCAATTGCTCCAGAATCCATTTCCGATGCTCTTGTGCCCATTATAGGCGCTTTTGGTGGTGAACCAGGGTTAGAATCGGCACGCCGACTGGTCTGCAGCTACATAGCACTATATGCAGCAGGGTGCAATACACTGTCTTGTATCACATCCATCACACAAGTATCATTAAAATTCTCTGCAACCTGTGCTACACTGGCCCTTTTATTGGCTTAAGCCAGACAGCATATAGCGTTTGTTGCCCGTGTGCATTGATGAGCCTTGGGCACCCAGTGTCCTGTCGTCAGTTCACGGTGTGTCCTGCCTTAGATTGCAGTCGGTAGGTATTCACCACTGCTGACTTAACCCCCCCCAGATGTTTCGGAAATGCTCAGTCCCACTCACCTGGCTATAATGATTTGGCCCTTGTCAAATTTGTTCTGGTCCCATTTCTCTAACGTTCAACATGTTGGCTAGAAGAACCAACTGCTTGCTTACCGTCGAACATCTATTTGCAGACCTTGATACGGCTCGTTGTTATGAGATAATCTGCTTCATCTGCAAATGGTTCTAATGTTTTGACTCATCGGTGTATTTTAGCAGTATGTTACAATTAGCATCTGAAACATTGACAGTTGTCAAAATTTGCAATAATTTTTGCTAATTTATTGGCTATCAACAAATTCAAGACCACGGAACAGACCGCAAATACTCTTCAACATTCTTAACCTTTAATTTGTTATTTTTAATAAAATGAAAATGCACATCGCACGGCAGGAGGTGTATCAGTATACCTCTAAGAGTCTGCCATGAAACTGCACATTTTGAAGTCAGACATGGGTTGCATGCGTACGCGCGGGTTCTTCAAAGGCTCGCGTGGAAAGCAGTGAAAATGTGGGCAGAGAGTGGTTGCGATCTTTGCCCTGAGCACTGAGCAGTACTGGGATCAAGAGGAAACGGAGTGACTGTCATCGTGCCAGTGCACCCTTGATGTGCAGAAAGTGGCCGCGTGTTCTGCCGGGTAATTAAAGGTCCCTGGAGGTGCCCTGAGCCAGTATTCGCATTACATTAGCTTGACTGTGATCTTTTAATGATTGACTGACCCTTTCCTCATTTCAGAATGGTAATTGGAAAGTCACACCTGGCGCACTGGCGCGCTGCATTGGGGATATTGGTTTAGGGAGGTTTTTCACATTGAAATGATCCTGATAATATAATTAATTGCCTTCAATCCCATGGGCATTACTTAACTTCGTTGTCACCTCGTGTTAGAATTTCATAAGCCACCACTTCTCTGATTTAGGGGAAGGAACGTGAATGTAGGTCATAAAATATGTTGATCGAATTTTGTTCCGTGAAGTATAAAGTAACCCCCCCAGCCAGTATCCATCTTTCTTTTCTGTAGAAAAATGTGTAATATCTTGTATTTACCCCCTGGGCGCCTGTATAAATGATGGCTGAAGTTCAGCATTGTGGCATACTTTGTTTTCCTGGGCTGAAGGCTTGACATTATTGAAACACCAGAGGAAGAGTGCAGATGCAGGTTGGCTGACTGCGTTTTTCTCTTCTTTGTCTCGGTTAGTACCTGCATGAGCACGGGGTGGTGCACCGTGACCTGAAGCCCGAGAATCTCCTGTACGCCACGCCCGCACCGGACGCCCCGCTCAAAATCGGTAAGTCACACACTCCGCAGGTGTTAGAGAGATAGAATAACACTTTAAGGTACTTTTACTCGGGCCTTATTCCTAAAATGGGTCAGGTGACTTTGCCGACACAGATACGCAGAACATCTGCAAGTGCTGTCAAATGACCTTCTTTTTTATTGCGGATTGTCTACTGACTAATGCAGGATGTGGATTAGTTGTGTTTGTCATGTATTATGCTGATGACAAATGGCTCAAAATATCTATGGAAATATGCCATTTTTTGAGGATATGAGTCTGTACCTATGTTCAGATGGCAGTTTGATGAATCAATAATTACGCGGGTGAGCTGAGTCACGAGTTATGCCTTATAATATACTGTTTTGTGAGCCTCTGGGAAAATTGTTTTCAATCAAGAGCTGGTGAGATGTCCATGCTCATAATATATCCAGCATTTGTGAAGACAAAAATTCACTGAAACATGTCTGGCTATTGATTAAGCTCTTTGAAGACACTCCCTTAGGGGTCATTAATGAGTTCAGACATTGGCTGACATTCACTTTCATCTATTCTTACACAGTACTATCTCGCTGGAAATGCTTCTTTTACATTCTAGTTCACTGAAGTAGTTTCATGTCCACAAATAAAGATAACCTAATGTCCAATCTAATTTTTTGTAGCATATGCATGCACAAATTACTCGTGTCACTCGAATAATTTATATTATTTTAATCTACTTGAATTATATTGTGTATCATGATTCATGTGAGGATTCATTGAAAGACTACGCATTTGAGTTTGCATCGACATTTATGCATGAGCATTTATGTCCGTTCAAAAATTTATTTCAAATTTGCCCGTTCGATTAAGAAAATGTCTGGGTGTTTCTATTTTAGCTGATTTTGGCCTGTCAAAAATTGTGGATGATCAGGTCACAATGAAGACAGTGTGTGGGACTCCAGGGTACTGTGGTGAGTTGACTATTTCCATTTTTTCTTATGTACTGTATTGTTTCATATTCTCCCGATGTAATACCTCTGTGGTGTGCCAGATCAGACACCTGGTATTTGGTGGTTCTTTCTAAATCTGTTTAGTGCATCATTATGATGACTATCTGCTCAGCACTATCAGTTCCATTGCCCTGGCTGTGAAGAGGGTTGATAATGATAATTCACCAACACTGTGCTGAGCTGCTCTGTTGGCATATTTTAATGGCCCATGATACGTGGTGAGTCCGAAATGTAGAGATCAAAATAAAGTTTAATATTTCAGCATTTAAGGATTTCAAAGAGGGAGAGAGAAGGGAGAAGGGGAGGAGCTGGGTAGGTTCTTAGCATAAAGAAATTAAACATTCAATTCAACTGGAGCAATGAGGGTTTTTCTTGCAATTGAAATTTTTCAGATTGCAATCTGGATGAAAAAAAATCAATGTGTCTTCCTTCTTTTTCAACTCTAATTTGGAATCTCAAATTATATGCTCAGTATAATTTGCTCAGCAAAGGAGCACCCTTCAGCAAATTTTGGCCTGAGGGTGGACTGTGAGGCAGAACTGTGTTTTTACGCAGTAAAATATTTAGCTGCATTGGAGATATGTATCATTTGAAAGTGTGAGGACTCAGCATTATAACTGCATTAGCTATCTCGAGATGCAGGCAAAACAGAAAAAGCAGTATTTAAAATTGTGTCATAATGCCCCATGCCTGACTGTGCAGTCCCATAGGTTTGATTTCATAGCATTGCTCAGATCTGTCAAAATATGTGAATATCAATGCAGGGGTTGCGATGGAGAGCAAAGCCCATGGGCCAATGGCCCGTGTCATGGAAAATCAATGGGCCATTTTCAAAATGTTTTGGCCATTACCAGAATTCAATGCGCCAATAATATTCACCAAAGCAGACATTTATTCAAATTGTACAGTGCATATACATACATATACACACACTTTGCTTTGCATGTTTAATGCTAAAAACATGCTGATACTAGTGCTGGGTATCGTATGGATGATACGATACGATATATCGTGATCGTATCATTGATACGATACACGATATTTATCGCGATACATCAACATACACAAATCTTTTTAGAACTTAGTCTTTATTCAGATAATACAAATAAATCCGTAGAAGTTAATGTCTTATTTAATTCTTTATTGTTTTATTCAGTAAGATAAATCCAGAAAACCATTAGTTGAACAATAGAAATGGTTCATTTTT